CAGTGCATCCATGGGGATGTCCGGCCTTACCCTAGTGCCTGGGTCCGGTTAACAGTGGCTGGCGTAACCCGACAAATCGTTGTTGGCTTAGCCCCTCGACTTGCATACCCGGTGATCCTGGGGCGGGACTGGCCCACCTTTGAGGAGATCCTCCGGTCAACCTCGGCCTTGGAAGGAGAGTCCCAGGGGGCCCTACCGGAAGAGGAGCACGGGACCCCAGAACCCGAGGCAAGAACCGGAGAAGCCAACAATCCCCTGCTGGGGCCTGCGGTCGAGCCCCTCCTCCATACCGATTTTTGCCGTGACCAGAGAGTTGACCCTACCCTTAGCGGGGCCTATGAACAGCTAGCGGCAGTCGATGGGACCATCATCAACCCCCAACCCGCAACCCAGTGGCCCCACTTCGAACTACGCGGGGACCGTCTTTACCAGATAGACCGGGACTCCCGCACGAAGGAGCCCCAAACCAGCTGCTGGTACCGCGGTGTCACCGGCGTGCCGTGTTGAAGCTGGCGCATGACATCCCGGCTGCTGGGCATCTGGGCCAGGAGAAGACCCTCGCCCGGATTCTAACGCGGTTCTTCTGGCCCGGTGTTCACCAGGAGGTGAGGAACTATTGTAGCTCCTGCCCGGAATGCCAGGTAGCCGCTCCACAACGAGTACCCAGGGCCCCCCTGGTCCCCATGCTTATAATAGAAACACCATTCGAACGGATGGCCATGGACCTGATGGGCCCCCTCCCAAAAAGTGCGTTGGGGTTCCAGTATGTCCTGGTTATTGTGGACTATGTCACCCGTTCCCAGAGGCCATTCCGTTGCGGAGCACCACCGCCCAGACCATCGCCGGGGAACTGCTGAAGGTCTTCGCTCGGGTGGGCTTGCCCCGAGAAATCCTAACAGATCAAGGCACTAATTTCACCTCCCGATTGTTACAGCAGGTTTGCAAGCTCCTGGGGGTCAAACAGTTACGGACTTCCGTCTACCACCCGCAGACGGACGGGCTGGTGGAACGATTCAACCAGACCCTCAAGAAGATGCTGCGGAAGTTTCCCCCAGAGCAGCTACGCCGGTGGGACCAGTTGCTCCCTCCCCTGCTGTTAGCCATCCGCGAGGTACCCCAGTCCTCGACCAAGTTCTCTCCGTTTGAACTGTTGTATGGGCATCGCCCATGGGGCCTGTTGGACCTAATGCGGGAAACCTGAGAGCAGTCTCCCTCTCCAACCCAGAGCCTCCTGAAGTATGTCCTCCAGATGCAGGACTACTTTGCTCAGGCTGGGGCCCTGGCTCGTGAAAACTTAAAGGCCGCCCAGGGCAGGCAGGAACAGACTTATAACCAGGGGGCGCAGGTGCGTGACTTTGAACCTGCTCCTCCTGCCCTCGAGCGAGTCGAAGCTACTGGCCCGTTGGCAGGGACCCTACGAGGTAGCTCGGAAGGTTGGCCCCGTCACCTACGAGATCCGCCAGCCCAACCGGCGCAAAAAGACTCAGCGGTACCATGTGAATTTGTTGAAACCGTGGCGGGAGTGGGAGGGCCTGCTGATTACTCCTTACCCGCCAGAGCCTGAGTTCGGTCCCCGCGCATGCCGGACTGAGGACCCCACTGCTCCCCTGCTCGGCGACACTCTCACGGAGGAGCAGCGCAAGCAGGCCAAATGTCTCCTGCAGGCTTTCCAGGGAACCTTCACGGCCCTACCCGGGTACACGACCCTGGTCTATCACTCTGTCCAGACTGAGCCAGGGAAGGTAATCCGAGAAACGACCAGACCACTGCTGTACCGGATCCGCCAGGAGGTGGAGGAAGAAGTACAGGCCATGCTGGCCTTGGGGGTCATCGAGCCATCTCAGAGTGAGTGGTGTAGCCCGTTGGTCTTGGTACCCAAGCCCGACGGCATCCGACGCTTTTGTATAGACTTCCGACGGGTGAATGCCATCCCACGGTTCGATGCCTATCCGATGCCCCGTGTGGACGAGTTGCTGGGCCGCCTAGGCGAGGCCTGGTTCATCACCACCCTCGATCTCAGTAAGGGGTATTGGCAGATCCCGCTCGATGACTCCTCTAAGGAAAAGATGGCATTCGCCACTCCTACGGGACTTTACCAGTTCACCCGGATGCCTTTTGGCCTCCATGGGGCCCCGGCGACGTTCCAGTGGCTAATGGATCGCCTTCTACAGCCCCATCAAGACTATGCGGCAGCCTACCTAGATGATGTTGTGGTCTATAGCTGCCACTGGGAAGACCACCTGGAACGGGTGGCGGCGGTCCTGAGATCCTTGCGGCAGGCGGGACTGACAGCCAACCCAAAAAAGTGCCGCATTGGATGGCAGGAGACCATGTACCTGGGATACACTATAGGGGGAGGATGAGTGAAGTCCCTCGTCGGAAAAGTGCAAGCCCTGGCAGCCTGCCCAACCCCCACCACGAAGTGCCAAGGCCGACAGTTCCTGGGACTCGCCGGATACTATCGGCAGTTCATTCCGCAGTTTGCGTCCATTGCAGCACCCTTAACAGGATTGCTGACAAAGGACAGCCCCCGGCAGGTGCGGTGGTCCCCTGACTGTGAAGATGCCTTCCGGACACTCCAGAGGTGCCTCTGCAAGGAGCCGGTCCTTTACAGCCCGGACTTCAACCGGGGATTCATCCTCCAGACAGATGCCTCAGAGGTGGGGCTGGGGGCCATCCTGTCCCAAGAAGTTGATGGAGAAGACCACCCAGTTCTATACCTCAGACAGAAACTATTTCCCCGGGAGAAGGACTATGCCGTGGTGGAGAAAGAGGCACTTGCCGTGAAGTGGGCCTGTGACGCCCTACGATATTACCTCCTTGGGGCTCCGTTCACGCTAGTCACGGACCATGCCCCCCTCCGATGGTTGATGAGGATGAAAAATAATAATGACCGTTTACTGCGCTGGTATCTGGCCTTACAGCCCTATACTTTCACCATCCAGCATAGAGCTCGCAAGGAGCATGTGAACGCAGACTTCCTGTCCCGCCTAGGAGGGATGGAAGGGCCTGGCCCTGACGAGCGGGAGCCAGACTTGAGGGGGGGGGGCGTAGTGAGCCGGTGTGGCTCCCCGCCGCCCCGGAAGGGGAAGAGCCCATCCGGAGGCCGGAGTGGGCGGAGCTAGGGAGCTCTGAGCCCGCCCCTCAAAGGGTCAGGCTGCGACCCTGAAGTATAAAAGCTCGCCCTCACAGCTCAGTCAGGCCCCAGCCACCGGAGAGACCAGACGTCTCCAGCCTAGCTCGTGGCTGGGAAGACCCCGTGGCCCAAGGCAGCTGCCAGGACTGGCCGGGCCTGCCCTGCGCCCGCTATCCGGAGGAGCCGCCGGGCCTGCCCTGTGCCCGCTATCCGGAGGAGCCGCCGGGCCTGCCCTGCGCCCGCTATCCGGAGGAGCTGCCGGACCTGCCGATCAGTCCCTGCCCTGACGAACCCATGATCCTGGATCCCCCAGAGACTGACACCAGGACCCAGGTAGGCCCCAAGGGGGAGTGTGGAAGTAGCCCGGGGGCAGCCGACCCCAGTCTGGCTGCAGCACTGCCAGAGCCTATGTCAGTGTGTTGCGGCCAGGATCCCCACTGACAGCAGCAGGTCTTCTGCCGCTGCTAGGGCCCTGGGCTGGGACGCAGTGGAGTGGGAGGGCCTGCGTCCCCCCTGCCACCCAACCCGTGGGTGGCATTCTCCCCCTCTCCCAGGCCTTTGGAGGCTTGGGCCTACTATTGTTGCTCAGCCCTGACTGAGGGCCTGAGTTCCTGACTCAGCGTTTGTTGCCCTGCCCTGACCTAGGGGCTGGGCTAAATACTCCTGCTGGTTGCTCAGCCCTGACTGAGGGCCTGAGCCCCTGACGTAGCATTGGTGCCCCGCCTTGAGCCAGGGTCGGGCTTCCTGTGTCTTCCAGGACCGCAAGGGCTGCCGAGGGAGACCCTGCAGCCGGACGAAGTACCCAAGCACCAGTGGGTAGTGAGCCGGTGTGGCTCCCCGCCGCCCCAGATAGGGTTGAGCCCCGGCAAACCCTTGTACACTCCCCTTCCTAGTCCCTTAATTCCAATAACCTACCATCATGATGTCATCAGAACCCAGCAGGTCCTTCAGCCTTTGTGCTGGGCCTGTTTATTTCTCATTTTCTATGCTAACATTGCCAAATCAAAGTGCTCAACATTCAAGAGTTAGACAACAAACAGGAGAGATTTCTGAGAGTTTTAAAAACTAATATAGCACATTGCTTTTCACCCCTCTTGATTTTCATCTCGTGGGAGAAGTTGCTTACCCCACTTTGTGCGTGACCATCTCGTTTTCAAAATTCAGCTTTAAATGCACACACAAAAATGTAGGCCTCCCTGTTTGCTACCTGAAGGGGATTTACCTTATTCTATCCTCCTGCCTGGTGTGTGGGAGCAACAAACCTATCCCCCGCCCTACCCAGGCCTAGTAGGTCATTGCCTATTCCACTTTCTACCTCAGTTTCCTTACTGCTCCCCACTTTCCCCTAGGCCTTCCGCCCCTCCCCCCTGTCTATCCTCTGCACCCCTGCTCAGTCCCACTGACAGGAATGGGAGATGGTGACCCTTTGGGGTAAGGGCCAAACTTTACAACATTGAAGGTAGAAATCAGAACTTCCTAAAAGCCTTTACCCTCCTCTCCCTTCCCAAAATATTGTGAGATTTGTGATAAAACTGTGAATGTTGGCTGTACTGTACTGTCACGGGGCGAGGCATGTAGACCCAAATACACTTTTTGGAATATATGAGGGCTCTAATTAGATTACACATTCCTATGAAAATCCACCTGCCATTCTTATTTCTACCATAAATAGGGACATTCTAAGTTTGTACCTGATCATACCTATAGAAGCTATTGCAGACTTATTGTACAATATTCCATGGCATTTTTTTATGGATACAAAGGGCTGTTCACCATGCATTAGAGTATCATCTGTGCCTACTTTTATGTTTTGAACTATTTATTTGAATTTAAAATAGTCAATAACTTTTCTATATCTTAACAGACTTTAGACAATTTGAAGGAAGGGAAACATAATCTGCGTGTGCGACCTGCAGATATACCAATAGCTGAAAGAGCATCCATGAATTACTGGAGAACGCAAAAATGTATCAGCAAGCCAACAGAGTTTCCTATCAAAAGCCCAGCATTTACAGGTAGATGTCCCAGTCCTCCTCTCTGTGAATGTACCTGGTACTTTAAATTACTCAGCACACTCTGTAGGTCATAAACACCCACTCGTGTTCAGCCAAGACTAAGGGTATGTCTACACTACGGGATTAATCCGAATTTAGATAATTCGAATTTGGGAAACAGGTTGTATAAATTCGATTGTGCGTGGCCACACTAAGCACATTAATTCGGTTTTTAACCACATTAATTCGGTGGTGTGCGGCCACACTACCCCATTAATTTAACCACATTAATTCGGTGGTGTGCGGCCACACTAACCCTAATTCGAATTAACAAAATCGATTTTGGCGCTACTCCGCTCGTCGAGGTGGAGTACAGAAATCGATTTTAAGTGCCCTTTAATTCGAATTAACTGGCTCCGTTGTGTGGACGGGTTAAGGATTAATTCGGATTAACGCAGCTAAATCCGAATTAAAGTCGTAGTGTAGACCAGGCCTAGGAATCTGAAGGTCCTTAATATGTTGTGCTTTGTATGCATGTGCTTAACTTCCAGCGATGACTGATTATATGAAAGCAAAGGTGCACATTTAGTTACGTTCACATACAATTGGGGATTTTGGTGTGTGCATCCAGGCAGGCCTGCACCTACCCGGGTGCAGTATCCAATGTGGGTCTCACCAATGCTGTATACAGAGGAAACACCACCTCCCTACTCCTACTCAATACTCCCTTGTTAAGACATCACATCAGCCCCCTTTGCCACAGCATTGCCATGGGAACTCATGTTCAGCTGCTTAGCTACAATGATCCCTAAGTCCTTTTCTTAGTCACTGCTTTCCAGGAATCAGTACCCCATCTGACAAGTGTAGCCAACATTCTTGGCTCCTGAATGATCTTACATTTGGCTCTATTAAAGTGTGTGGTGTTTGATTGTTCCCAGTTAACCAAGTGATCCAGATCATTCTAGATCAGTGACTGTTCTTAGTCATTATGTGCCACCCTACCAATCATGGATTCATAGATTCCAAAGCCAGAAGTGACCATTGTGATCATCTAGTCTGACCTCCGGTATAATGCAGGCCAGAGAACTTTCCCAAAATAATTCCTACAGCAGATCTTTTAGAAAAAGAATCCAATCTTGATTTAAAAATTGTCAGTGATGGAGAATCCACCATAACCCTTGGTAAATTGTCATCTGCAAACTTTATTAGCAGCAATTTTATATTTTCTTCTAGATTATTGATCCAAGTCCCCATGCCAGGTGATCCATTGCTTAGTTAGCAGCCTACCTAGATGGACTGGTTTTCTTAGTCTGCCTTCTTTGTCCCAAGGGTGTTTCTATACAATAGAAGACTATCAAGATCTAACAACCCTCCTTTGTTAACCCTGTGTCACCATCCCTTGAAATTTCATCCCAAAATGAAGGTAAAAAGGCAACAGAGAAGGCAGACAAGCCCCACATTCAAAATGGAGTTTGCAGTCTGGCACAAATACACACAGAGAATCCCCAGAATCAAACAGAATTAATATGTTGTACATAAACAGATCCCCCAAATTGTCTGTCTGTCTGTCTCTCTCTCTCTCTCACACACACACACACGCTGATAACTCCCCATTAACAACTATAGATTCTATTTCCCACTATTAGTCTTTGATATGTGTCATATTGTGTTCAGAGAGAAGACATGAACACCTATGCTAAGGAGAACTCTTTGTACCTTCCACCAACAGAAGTAACAAAATCAATGGCAATTTTCCTTGTTTGTGTATTGATCTCCTCTGATTTCCCTCTAGGATTACATGATAAAGCTCCCTTGGGGCTGATGGATACACCATTACTTGATACAGAAGAGGAAGTGCATTACTGTTTTCTGCCATTAGACTTGGTGGGAAAGTACCCTACTTTAGTCAATGATGATAATTTACTGTGGCTCCTGGAGAATGCAGCTCTGATAGAATGTGAATGCAGTGAATTCCGTTTCATAGGTAAACCTCATTCTTTTCTGTTTGGAAAGCACCTTGCACATTTGAGCACTATCAGAATAAGTTACAAATAATTATTCTCTACCCCGTCTCTCAACATCTTCAGTTTCATTCTGGTATCTCTGTATAGGGTGACCATATTTCCCAAAGGGAAAAAGGGACACCAAGTGGGGCTAGCCCGAGCCCCCACTCCCACCCCCCTGCCCGTGCGGGGCTGGCCCGAGCTGCTCACCCGAGCTCCCCTCCCCACATGGGGCTGGCATCGTTGCTCACCGGAGCCCTGCCTACTGCCCGTGCGAGGCTGGGGCTGGCGTTGCTACTCGCTTGAGCCCCGCCTGCCCCTCTTCCCCATCCAAGCCCTGCTGCCCCCCTGTGCGGGGCTGGTGTCACGGCTCACTCCTCCCCCCCCCCCCGCACTTTCCCCACACCCCGCTTTTTTGACAAAAGCAGGCATTTGTCCTGTTTGGGCTTAATCTTGGCAACTGATAAAGTTGGCAAAAGCAAACTGAACCAATGCCCACTTTTGCCAAAATAATCGGGACGGCCAGGACAGGGCTTAAAAAAGGGACTGTCCTGGCCAAAACGGCCTGTATGGTGCAGCCTATAGGGCTAACCTGCTTGCTTGTGTGTGTGTGTGTGTATATATATAGTTAAAGTATTTGGTTTATTGTAATCAGTTTATAAATTTATATTAAAGTAAGTTTGGCTGTAATGCAAAAAACCTACAGGCCATATTTTGTATGTTAAGCTAAGGCAAAGTTAGTATATTTATATTAAAACCTTTTACTTAAAAAGCAAAGTTAACCTATATTTTGTTCCCTAAATAAATAAGTACCCATGCCTATGTTTATAGCCTTTTATTTAAACCAATAAACAATAAAAAATGACATGGGTTTTTTTTTTTAATTTGTACCTACAAACTTAACAGGTACACCACAAAAAAACATATGTGCGTAGGTACATGTCATCAATACGCACATACATACTAGCCTATGGAGTAAGCGTACCCTAACATTTTGTGGGTAAAAAATAAAATTTGGGCATAAAAAAAAATTCCGGCACTTGTGCCCTATAAACAAAATAACCCACCTCGCTAAAGCACTCCGCTCGATCATTCTCACTTACATTCTAGTTCTACTCTATCTCTCTATCTATTCTATTTACAATAACTACTAGTATTAGTAGGCTATACTTGTTCTTCTTAAACTTTAAGTTTTAAAAAAACTAGGCTAAGCTTAGTTTCCCTAAGTTTTATTCTTAGTTTTGTTTATTAGGTTTTAATTTTAAGTTTAAGTTAGTCAAGTAAACCCTAGTCAGCTTTAATAGCTCTTAGCATTATTTTTTCCTAAGTACTGCATCCCGCACTCAAAAATTAAAAAACCTAAACTGCAAGGCTGGTCCTGTATCTCTTACCACCAGGTTGTCAAAAAAAAAAAAGAAAGTAAATATATTAACCAAAGCTTTGTTGCATATAATACTATATTATCATATGTATCTTTCAAATAGCAATAATGCAATTGTAACTTTGTAACTCTAAGTATTTTACCATTTACTTAGTATTATTAATTTTAATAAAAAATCTATAAAGCTATATCTGTGTCAGTGTAAGCTTCCTGTCATACCCCCTAAAATCCTTCGTAAATTCTGTAAAGCCTAATTCAAAACAAAAACTTTTATCTTCTAATCAAACAAATTGGCAAGCCTAAAACCCATATTAATTAATATTAACAATTAATTATTATTAATATTATTAATCAAATTAAGTTAAATAAAATTAAAAATAAATAAAAAATGATATTAGTACTCTCTAAATCAGGCTACAATGTTCACCCTATCTCGGGATCATTTTTGGTACTAACCTACTCTAAGTCAGTCTCCAATAACATTTATTTTTAAACCAAAATTTTCGATTTTCTTCCTACCCACCAGTTTTCCTTGGGCCAGTACACCACGATGTGGCAACAGGACAAGTGGGGACTTCATCTCACTTTAGTGCAACCTCCATGTGATGCAGTTTTTCTGAGCATCGTTTCTTAAGTGTCCCAATCAATATGCGGGCCCACAGCCAGGCTAGTTTAGAAGCTGAGGAAAATGTGTGACTTTGCATTCTGGAATTTATGTTTAGGGTTACCAAACAATATAAGGCCAGGAGGACTCAGGTTTGGGGCTGCTGCTTTGCAGTGTGATTCCAGCAGAATCTGGCCAGATAGTCAATTTATCTGACACCAGAAGGATTACTCCAGTTTGGTGGAATCCTCTGGTACAGATCTAGTGCAGTGATCCCTGCACCACCTCCTCCTTGCTGGTGGTGCATGGGATAGAGTTGGCGCAATGGCTAGGGCTCCCTGGCACAATGCCAATCTTCAGCTGAGGTGTCAGGTATTGGGGGGCTGTTGGCATCCAGCATAATTCAGAGCAAGCCCTTGGGCTGCTTTTCTGTCACGGGATTGGCCCAACACACGGCCATTTCAGGATCAAGGGAGCGCAAGGTGAGCTTTGTGCCAACTTTGTGCCAACTGTCTCCCCCCATGTCTCTGTATATGCTGATACCATAGAACTGTATGTCACTAATCCAGGCATAGGATTATAGGCTGTATTATGTTAAACATACAACATTTTAAAAACAAATATAAACTTTCACTGTGCATTAAGTATGCAGCATTGTTGTAGCCGCGTTGGTCCCAGGCTATTAGACAAGATGGGTGAGGTAATATCTTTTATTGGACCAACTTTTGATGGTAAAAGAGACAAGCTTTTGAACTTACAAAGAGCTCTTCTTCAAGCCCAGGCTCAGAAAAGAGCTCTGTGTAAGATCAAAAGCTCGTCTCTTTCACCAGCAGAAGTTGGTCCGGTAAAAGATATTACCTTAATCCACAGTGAGTGAGGTAAGGGAGTTGGAGGAATGGAGAGAGGGCCTTGGAATTGGGGAGTTGGGCTGGGCAGTGAGGCTGAGTAACTGTACTAACTTGCTTGCTGCCTACAGCCCTTGCCAACCCCTCATCCTACCTGCCTGTAGTCCCTCATCCATATCCCTTCAGTCTCCCTTGGATATTTTAAGCTTCACAATGGGATTCCCAGTCCAACAGACCCGGTAAATTTAGTCAGACCAGATATCTTCTCTGGTGAGCTATAGAGAAGCTGCCTCGGTAGCAGTGCAACAAGCTTCACTTGTCAGGCAACTTTGCCTGCAAGTTTACCTCACACTCTCTCTGTGGCTTTTCCCCTCTGTTTGCAGTTAGACCATTTCTAGAACTAGTTCAGCTGCAGCCACTGATGACATCTATTGCTGGCAACTGGTAATTTCCTAATGTAGACAAGACTCGTGATAACATTAAAACATTATCCATAAATGTATGTGTGTATATATAGTTATACTGTAAATGGCTGTAGAACACAAAATGCTACATGAAGCATATATAATGCCACTGAAACTTTCTAAAATTAAAAAAAAAAGTTTAGATACTATATTAGATATATTCAAAGGGGTACCTTTCTTCACTTCATGTGGAAATGTATATACATGCAAAAGTTCAGGTTACAAATCCCAACTGTAATACCAAATGTTACTGGCAAAACAGTACCAGCTATATATATCAGGCTCATGGGGCTTGTGCAATGGGGCTAAAAATAGAAGTGTAGCCATTCGGGCTCTCAGACCCACCCTCACTGGGTTTCAGAGCTTGGGCTCCAGTCTGAGCAGGAACATCTAAACTGCTATTTTTAGCCCCTAGCATGAGCCCTGGGAGGTCAGTTGATCCAGGTCTGAGACTTGCTGCCACGGGGTTTTGTTTGCAATGTAGACATACCCTGACAGTGTTAAACCCTTTCTGCCACTGGCACTGCTGATTGCCAAGCATAGAATCCCCTTGATATGGATGAGAAAAGAGACTTATAACAAACTGTAGCCTCCCAGTGTGCTGAAAGCAGCATCCAAGGAACAAACTAGCTATTGAAAAAGGACAAACATTAAGCTATACCACAAAATATGGTCAAAATGTACAGATTACCTTGAAACAGACAAAATGGTCTAAATATTTTGAAACCACTGCTCGTCGCCTTAATAGAAGGAAATGTATGTACTGGAACAAATTTCAATTAGACTGCAAATCAAACTTGTTATGCAGGTTTCAGAATATATAGCACTAATGGTGAATAGTTTGAACCAAAAGAAAAGCTTATATTTGTTTTAATGTAATTCTCAACTAGTATATGTTAATGTAAGCTTACCTACAATCAATCAATCAATAATATATATTTAATAATTGTTATGTCAAAGTTAAAATAATAATTTAAAATATCCTAAAGTCAAATATGGGATTAAGGCATGTTCCTATAGCTTTTGCTTATGTAAATAGTCCCATTAATATGCTGTGGAACAGGTGGAAGAAGGATGGTGGGCCTGATTCGCATTTACACCAAGAGTCCTTTACACTGCCAGAACAGTATAAACGGATCTTAAAGTGGGAGTAAATTTCACCCCCTTTTTAAAGCCTCTTTACACTACCAAAGCCGTAGAAAGGAGTCTTAGTGTATATGAGAATTGGGTTCTTTATCTCTCTGGTAGTAACAAAATAATTTTTCATTTATGAAAGGATCATCTAGCTTCAAAAGAGTTATGTACCCTTTTGACGTGTGGCAGAAAACCACAGCTCCTCCACTAAGTGTTTTTCTGATGTTGCCACAATTTTGCCCTGGTGTTTTTGAAGGACCTGCTTGCATCAGAATTCATCAGCCCATGGTAAACTATGTTGAAGCATACTTCAGGAAGGATTTCTGCTTGCAGAATAGCCCATATTTGAGTCATGTGGAACGTTGCTGCAAATGAAACCAAACTGATTCTTGTGGATTGTACTACCTATCATTTTGCTATGCTTTAAAGTAAAGTGACATTTGATTTTACATCTTGATCTTCAAAAACTATTACGATTATATTAGTTTTCAGGAATTTATTTTCAAACACCAAGAATCTCCTGGTTTACTGCTATAATATAAAATAACTAATATATTATTGTTGGGGAGGGAGGGGGAAATGTCAACAGCCTATTGTTTTTGCTAGAGTGAACAGGTAAATGGACAGGTAAATGACAAAATTAACACTTTGGTTTTTGTCTTTATTTTTCAAGTAAATTTTCTTCGCTCAGAGAAGATTTTGTTGCCTGATAATTTCTCCAGCATAGATGTTTTGGAAGCAGAAGTTGTAACTTTGGGAATTCCTAACCTTACCGATGCAGTGAAGCTTTATAGGGGTAATTTAGTGTCACTTTATTTTCAGTGTATTCTCCCATTCACTTCCCGTCTCAGCTAAGGTGTTTGAATATTGAGGTGATTCATAGATACATAGATTCCAAGGCCATAAGGGACCATTGTGATCATCTAGTCTGACCTCCTGTGTAACACGGACATAGAATTTACCTGAAATAATTCCTTTTGAACTAGAGCATTTTCCAGTCTTGATTTAAATTTTGCCAGGGATGGAGAATCCACCATGACCCTTCATACGTTGTTGCAATGGTTAATTACTCACACTGTAAAAAATTTACACCTTTCTCCCAGTCTGAATTTGTCTAGCTTCAACTTCTAGCCATTGGATCATGTTAGACCTTTTTCTGCTAGATTGAAGAGCTCATTATGAAATATTTGTTCTCCATGTGGGTACTTATAGACTGTCATCAAGTCACCACCTTTCCCTTTTGTTAAGCTAAATAAGATTGAGCTCCTTGAGTATGTCACTCTAAGACATGTTTTCCAGTCCTGTAATCATTCTCATGGCTCTTATCTGAACCCTTTCCAAATTTATCAATGTCCTTCTTAAATTGTGGGCACCAGAACTGGACACAGTATTCCAGCAGCAGTCACACCAGTGCCAACTAGAGGTAATACAACCTCTCTGCTCCTACTCAAGATTTCCCTGTTTATGCATCCAAGGATCTCATTAGCTCTGTTGGCCACAGACTCACACTGGGGGCTCCTGTTCAGCTGATTATCTACCCTCCCACCCCAAATCCTTTTCAGTCTCTACATCCCAGGATAGAGAACCCATCCTGTAAGTATGGCCTACATTCTTTGTTCCTAGATGTATACATTATATTTGGCCATATTAAAATGCATATTGCGTGAGCCCAGCTTACTAAGCAATCCAGAATGCTCTGTATCAGTGACCTGTCCTCTTCATTATTTATCACTTCCCCTATTTTTGTGTCATCTGGAAATTTTTAGTGATGATTTTATGTTTTCTTGCAGGTCACTAATAAAAATGTTAACTAGCGTAGGGCACGACCTGACCCCTGCAGGACCCCACTAGAAACACACCCATTCAATCCATTCAATGATGATTCTCCATTGACAATTACATTTTGAGACCTATCAGTTAGACAACTTTTAATCCATTTCATGTGTGTCATATTAATTTTATATTGTTCTAGTTTTCAGTCAAAATGTCATGCAGTACCAAGTCAAATACCTTACAGAAGTCTATTACATCCACACTATTACCTTTATCAACCAAATTTGTAATCTCATAAAAAAATCAAGTTAGTCTGACAAGATCTATTTTCCATAAACCCATGTTGATTGCCATTAAGTATATTATCCTTATTTAATTCTTTATTAATCAAGTCCTATATCAGATGCTCCACTGTTTTGTCCGGGATCAATGTGAGACTGACAGGCTTATAATTACCCCGGTCATCCCGTTTACCCTTTTAAAATATTGGCACAACATTCGCTTTCTTCCAGTCTTCTTCAACTCCTTTGGTATCCCAAGACTTATTGAAAATCAACATTAATGGGCTCAAAAATCTTGAGCTAGGGCAATTTCTGACATAACAGTTCCTGGAGACAAAAACCCCTATATGATGGTCTCCTCAGATGCAGAATTAGAAGATAAATCATTTTCTCTTCCTTGCCTTTTGATCAGACAGCATCACTTCCTTCTTTGAATCCCTCAGTTAGTGCCCCTTGCCCATGAAATTATATTTAAACTTCTTGCCCTCATCTTTATGGCCCTGAACAACTTTGCCCTGGCCTGCAACTTGGATCTTAATTCTTATTGTGTCTCTTGTTGCTCTTTTGTGTCTCTACATTAACAGTGGCCCCTATGTTCTCTTCTCCCACTTCTACTTATTCCATGTTGCCCTTTGCATGGATCTACTTCCCAACCCCAGTGTGTCTTAGTGACCTGCTACTTAAGGGCTCTAGGAGCATCTTGAGCAAGCATTACTCCTTGTAGTTATGCCAAAACATCTGCCATAAGAAATGCAGGGCCTGCTCTAAAACAAGCAAACAAAACCTTTTCTATATTGGAGTTGGTTATAAATGCAAATTCTGCAAACAAAAGGAACATCTTTTCTGAGTGGGAGCATTTTTAACATTCATTTCTTATGGACAGAAAAATGTATTAAATTGATATTTTGAACCCAGAGGACTTCTCAACAGATTGCATGAATGCTGAGAGAGAGGGCAAGTGTTGCTGTAATTATTAATCTTTTGCTTGTTAGAACACAGTCTTGATACATTTATGTATTTCCTTTTCATGTAGGAAATTGCTCTTTGCTGACCTCTAACCTTGAAGATTCTGTGAAGGGTATAGTAAACAAGATGCTGGAAGTTCAGGAAGTTGTGAGGCCCCCCTTGTACGTTATGGCACTTGGTGTCTTAGTAAAATACCCTGATTCAGCACTTGGACAGCTCCATATAGAAAGTACTTTAGACCGAAACCAGCTGTACATCTCTGGGAATGGAGTCCTCTTTCAACATGTCAAGTAGGTTTTCTTTGATATACTAGTCTTCATTAAATTCACGAGGCCAGGTTCATTTTCTGTTTGAGTTCTTCAGCCATATTGCATACTAACTTTGGAAGAGCAGTCCTTCAGTCTTGCATTTAATTAGTTCTACTCCTGAAGATATATTACTAAAATGGAATATTGTAACTTCTAAACTGCACTGTAAGTGCTAAATTCTGCTTTGTCACAAAGTGATCCTGTATGCCTAGAGAAGGGCAGCCATCATTACACTAGACAGAAGGAATGACTCCCCAAGGAGCACTAAAGAGGCACTGAAATGCTTTCCAAAAAGTGTATAAATGTAAGAAACTCAAAGGATGTAAGAAGTGAGTGAAACATTAAAAACATACTTTTTCCAAAAAATTGTTTAATAATTTCTTTCACTTACCTGCTGTGACCTGAGTTCATCCCTCCTCTCAGCATTCTGCATTCCTCCTCTACTATCACTGTTCGCTAACATTGCAGAGAGAGGAGGACAGCTCTTAAACAGGTTTAGGTGTCTCTACTCACAGCAACCCTTGCCAGGTCTTGGCAGATGAAAGGCCTGTACGTTCACCTTCAATTTATATTTGTTTACATTTTTCGGACAACACATATCGTCTGTTAGGGCCTGATGCTGCAGACCTGTTCTAAGTCTGGTATGGAGCTCTCATGTGAAGGTTCTAGTGAATTAACATTATTTGTCAAGTGGAAGAAATGCAAAAGTGTTCAATGGGAAAAATCCCATTGAAAGCTCAAGTATCAATAGCTGGAAAAGCTTTCTACCAGGTGTTCTTAACAATGGCTTGGCCTGAATTAGTTAAAAAATAAATCATATAAAGTATTTGGTATAATAAAATAGACAAAGATCTAGTGACCTATTCTCAATTAACTTTGGATGGATAGGAACTGGCTAGGAACTTGCCGCCTCCCACTTACTGAAAATATGTCTGAAATCCATGAACTCTGTGCTTACTTGGACAAAAGGGACATCACATATGAACCAATGAAAGATGCTTTGAAATCATATCTGAAACAAAAGATACCGGCAGAGACGAAGGGACACAGTAAGTAAAGGTTGTTCAATAAGTGATTGTATTGTTTTAAAATATGATGAGTGGATATTGGCTGATTAAGAATAAAGACTCAATAATCCAGTGCTAGCTAGGAGGAAAAGGTAGGTTTCAAATTAACCAGGGTTTTATGTGACCAACAAACTCCTCATTTTCATAAAATCTAGTATGAGCCAATAGTTATTAAGAAGTGGCTACTGCAGCCCCACGAGCTGTATAATAATACATACAACAAAAAGCTTTAGAAGCAATGCATAGTAACTGCACTACAGTAACATTTATTTCTGAAGAGGCATTCAGATTTATGTTTAGAATATAACTGCGTGCTTGAAAATTCTGTCTCTTCTCCCCCTCGAAAGAGACAGAATTAGTGAAGACCCTTCATGACATACAGCATATTTCCAGGCAGATATGCAAATAAGTCTTACATCCCAGAAAGTCTCTGTGAATTGAGTTGCTACAATACATTTTCTGGTTAAGGTTATATGTTGTACACAGCGCACAGTCAGCTTGTGGAACTCCTTGCCTTAGGAGGCTGTGAAGGCTAGGACTACAACAAGGGTTTAAAAGAGAACTAGATAAATTCACGGAGGTTAAGTCCATTAATGGTTATTAGCCAGGATGGGTAAGGAATGGTGTCCCTAGCCTCTGTTTGTCAGAGGGTGGAGATAGATGGCAGGAGAGAGATCACTTGATCATTACCTGTTAGGTTCACTCCCTCTGGGGCACCTGGCATTGGCCACTGTCGGTAGACAGGATACTGGGCTAGATGGACCTTTGGACTGACCCAGTACAGCCATTCTTATGTTCTTATGTTCTTATATGAGACTAGGGGATTGATATTTAAAGTGGGGTTCCTGTGTGAAATGTATGTACCTACAAAGGACTGAATCCTACTAATTCTTTTGATGGAATTAAAATCCATGAGAACAGGGCTTGGTATGAAGGAGTTCTGTCATCTCTGTTGCATCTTGATGTCGTCATGACATACTGTGGTGCATAGCTTGTGTTAGAGACATTAAATGGGAAATAATTGTAACAATCTCAAATGCCTAACAATTGAGTTGCTATTATTTGTATTACAGTAGCAACTAGCGACCCCAGTCATGGACCGGGGGCCTATTGTGCTAGGTGAGGTACTGTACAAACTCATTTTATTTTACATATTCACGTTCCAGAGTTGTCTAATCTTTTCATATTATTGTCCACGTCCCTCCAAACATCACTTCTGTGAGAATGTGACTGCTGTGTATCTCTTTCAGTACTGACATGTGCTATTGTAGGCACACAAATCTTTTCATAATGCAGGCGCTTTTCAAATTAAATATTTTTAACCATTTTTATTCTGGGGAATATTTATTTAAACTTTCCAGCAGCATATCACAGGATAATACAGTAACTTTATACAGTCGCATGGACTATTCCTGTTACTGATTTCAATCTAAACTTTTCCAGAAAGTCATTTAGACATTCAGCTAAAATCTAGAGGCTAAACACAGAGGCTAAATTGTGCCCAAGCTTGTGCAGGTGCACGGGAGGGACTGGAGCAGGCACCATAACACTATTTCCATTCCTCACACACAAGAATATGTGAGGCTAGCCTAATGGCTCCCAAAGTAGTGGTAAAAGGAACACACAAACAGTGGTGAAGAAATAGCTTTGCCTCCCTTGCACTCCCAGGAGTTCCCTGAGCTTAAACCCACAGTCAAGTCCAGTGAAAGCTTTCTATCAGTCGTAACTTTCCAGTCCAGCACACCTCAGCTTTTCCCACTGCTCCTGAACGTTGACGTTGTGTACCGTTTTGGTGTAGGTTCAACAGCATATCCAGCTTTATCTACATTGGGCAGGTAAATGTACCAGGTTGGTGAGCCCAAACAGAACCAGACTTACGTTCACAGATGCAGACCAAGACTTTGGACTGGACTGGAGAGAGGAATACTGGCTGCAGCATGGGTGTTTGCTGTTGCACATTTGCATGCCTGGTTATTTCTTGACAATGCTTATATCTGACCCCTGGAAACAGAATGCAAGGCCTGAGCTCTGCGTGTGTTTGCACAGAATTCTCTACATCCATTTAGCATACTAAAGAGTCCATACTGTGATATCCCCTCAGTAGCTCACGACTGTCATATCCACCACCAAGTTTCATTATTATTTAAAATTACTTGCACTGTGACCTTGACATTTTGAACCTTATCCCTTAGATGAAGACTGGACAGCAGAAGTAAGAGTCTACTCCCTGCATCAGATTGTGAAAATTTATGTGGGAAGCCATTGGTATGAAACATACTTACAAACCTTGCTGAAGGTACAGTCAATAAGTATCTTTCTATTGCCTTACTGTAAGTCTGCCTAAGACATTTCAGTATTGGAAAGGTGATAAGATAACATTCGATGGGGTTGGTCTGGCAGCCTGGGGCAATCAGAGCTTCATTTCTGGGCTGGGAGCTGTCTGAAGGCAACATGTTTAGCCCCTGAAGGAAATAAGCACCTGGACCTATTCATGAGAGAAGTGTTCCCCTCCTGGCCAACAACACAAGCAGCATTGACTGGGGCTGATAGAACCTGGTTAAGTCTTCTTTCATCAGGTACATGGGCTGCCAAAACCATGTGTGGGGGCAGGCGTCATTCCCTCAAAATTAATATTATAAATCCATAAGAACAAATAGAAGCTCATAAGCATGCACTTAACTTCATATATGATCTTAAGTTCCATTGAATTCAAGTTTAAGTTAAGCACATGCTTAGGAGCTCCGTTGAATGGAGATGGACTTAAGCACATGCGTAAAGTTAAGGAAAAGCCAAGGTGCTTTGCTGAATCAGGGCCGAAAAGAGCCAATCTTAAATCTCAAAATGCGCACACGACACCCCAGAGCGCATTTTCAGAAAGGTGGCCTGCCTTTTGCCCCTACAAAAATTGCACTGAATTTTGGATTTGCAATTCAACTGAAGGCACAGATTTGAGCAGGTGCACAATTCTAATTCCCTGACTGCAGGAGCACTAAACTAGAAGTGTAATTTACAGACACAAATTGCACCTGTAAGCAAGGAAGACAGACTGAAATGTTTCTCCCTGCACAGAGCCATCCTTGCCCTCCCTGCATCCCCACTTGTCTATGTAAAGGCAGGTAGAGAAGAAACGAGGGGGGTAGGACGAATGAGCCTCTCTTATAAAAGAACGTACATGGGGCTCTTTCGTAGGCCTTGCACGTTTCCAGGTCCATGCAGGCCAAGGTGATTCAAAGGGCATGTCTACACTTACCTCCGGAGCGATGGACCCAGCGGGGGTCGATTTATCGCGTCTAGTGAAGACGCAATAAATCGACCACCGAGCGCTCTCCTGTCGACTCCGGTACTCCACCGGAGTGAGAAGCATAGGCGGAGTCGACGGGGGGCGCGTCAGCAGTCGACCTACCGCAGTGAAGACACCGTGGTAAGTAGCTCTAAGTACATCGACTTCAGCTATGCTATTTTCGTAGCTGAAGTTGCGCAACTTAGACCGACTTAGCTCTCTCTCCCCCCCGCCCGAGCATAGACCACGCCTAAGCGTGGAGATCTCTGGAAGTCCTGTATTCAGAGAACCCTGTTTTCTGGTGTGTCGCCTACTGTACACTGGCCTCAGAGGCTTTAAATGACAAGCATCAACAGTCATCCTTTAAAATATTTGTACTAAGCTCATGGTTGGCGCTGAGCTTTTGTGCTGCCACAAATGCCAGAGCAAGCAGAGAAAGTCTGGATATACTGCAGAAGTAACAAGCTCATGATATAAATCAGTGGTCCCCAAACTGTGGAGTGTGCCCCCCTAGGGCATGGAGAAACATTTCGGGGGGCACATGGTAGGACCCAGGCCAGCCACCGGGCGGTGGGAAGGGAGTGCCACCCAGGCCAGCTCAGGCCCCAGCCCAGTTCCAGCTACAGCTCCTCTTCACCCCCAGCCGCACCTCCAGTCCACCCCCAGGCCAGCTCTGGCCCCAGCCACAGCTCCACTCCGGCCCCAGCCACACCTCCACTTCACCCCCTGCTCTGCTTCCAGTCCCCCTCCAGCCCCAGCTGCACCTCTGCTCCGCGCACAGTCCAGCTCCACCCCCAGCCAGAGCTCCACTCCGCCCCCCGCTCCATCCCCAGCCCAGCTCTGCCCTTATCCCTCTCCCCCAGCAGGCCAGCTCTGCTGTCAGCCCAAGCTCCTCTACTGAGCCAACTGTGCAGTAATGGAGGAGGGGGCACAGACAGATTCCAGTACTGGTAAGAGGGGGCGTGACAGGAAAAGTTTCGGCACCACTGATATAAATGAACCCCATTGGCAAGCGAAGTAGCATCATGCTCGAACAATTCGCTCTACGTTTAGCTACATTCAACCTTCCCTGGCTAGAAGGAGAGTTGCTTTGATATGAGATTTGGAGGGACACGGTGGGAAGAAGACAGGTCTTAAAGTAACCCTGACTTCCTAAGGTACGATATATATTTATTTCTCCAGTGTCCAGAGCTCCTGTCAAACTGCAAAAAAGTTTATTGGATTACATATGGTCAGAGTCTCCTAATCCATGGAGATGGGCAAATATTTCGACACATTCTCAACTTCCTTAGACTTGGCAAGCTGTTTTTACCATCTGAATTTAAGTAAGAAAAGAGAGATCATGCATTTTTTTAGTCTTATTCCAGATATCTATAGGAAAAAAGGTATTAATCTCTTATTCAACCTATAGGTTTTCTGATTTACATGGTGATTAAAGTATTAAAGCAAGATTTTTAGTTCCAGTAGTATTTATTATCAAATTCATACAGCAACATTAGTGTTAAAAAATTAGCATAAGGCTTTGTGAATTTAAAGAAAACATGAGCAAATAAATTGTAGCCAATAATTTATTCACCAAATTTAGCTTCTTTTTTCTGTGTGTAAATTGACTGCAAACAGGTTATGGTTTACTTAAACTCGTTTGTTGTTCAAAATTATTTGCTGTATGATTTCTACAAATAAACCGTGCTCTGTTGATTGTTCACGAGCAGTTTGTTTTCAGTGTTAGGTATTCAAAGTTTGAACTGTTTTTCTCAAAAGAGTTCACTTATTTTGGATATCTGGAATGAAATTCTGGTTCAACTGAAGTGAATGGAAGTTTTGCCTTGACTTCAGTGGAGCCAGAATTTCACCTTTCATTGTTTGGGTTCCCAACTTGAGATACCTATATGTCATCCAAAAAACAAGGCACCCAAAATTCGTAAACACTTTTGAAAGTTTTGGCCTATATTTTTTCCATGTGTGAAAATGGATTGCATCAGTAGCAAAATAAAAAAAATGACTCAAGTTAGGGAGTGTGCATTTTGCACGATCACTTTGCATTGTTGATTACAGAAGATGATTTCAAAAATTGACTAGTATTTAGAAAAGATCATCTGAATGTATTGGAGAGAATTACTGTACAGTAAAGTTTATTTACAATTTACAGAGAATGGTCTCTATTTTGTCAAGAAGCAGAGGAGTACAGAATTCCTTCTCTTTTTGAAGCACTTTATCAGTGTGATGGATACAGGTAAAGACGATGCTTGTCTATTTGCTATAGTTTCATAGGCTCATAGATTCCATGGCCGTAAGGGACCATTGTGATCATCTAGTCTGACTTTCTGTCTAACACAGGACATAGAACTTACCCCCAAATAATTCCTTTTGAACTAGAGCATGTTTTTTAAAAATAATCAAATCCTGATTTAAAATTTTCCAGGGATGGAGAATCCACCACAATGTTTAGTAAATTGTCCTAATGATTAATTACCTTCACTTTAAAAAGAACACCTCATTTCCAGTCTGAATATGTCTAACTTCAGCTTCCAGCTGTTGGATCATATTATACCTTTCCCTGCTAGATTGAAGAGCCAAACATTTGTTCCCCATGTAGATATTTAGACATTGTGATCAAGTCACCCTCTAACCTTCTCTTTGTTAAAATAAATAGATTGAGCTCCTTGATTCTATCACGAGGCAGGTTTTCCAATCTTTTAATCATTCTTCTGGCGCTTCTCTGAACCCTCACCAAATTTATCAACTTCCCTCTTGAATTGTGGACACCAGAACTGGACACAGGATACCAGCAGTGGTTGCACCAGTGCCAAATATAGAGGCAAAATAACCTCTCTGCTCCTACTTGAGATTCCCCTGTTTACATATCCAAGAATCACATTAGCCTTTTTGGCCACAGCATCACACTGGGAGCTCATATTCAGTTGATTATCCACCTGCCCCCCCCAATCTTTTTCAGTCTCCCATCCTGTAAGTATGGCCTGTATTCGTTATTCCTAGATGTATACATTTACATATATTAAAACACATATTGTTTGCTTGAGTTCAGTTTACCAAGGGATCCGGATCGCTCTACATCAGGGACCTGTCCTCTTCCTTAGTTACCATTCCCCCAGTTTTTGTATCATCTGCAAACTTTATCAGGGATGATTTTATGTTTTCTTTCAGGTCATTGATAAATATGTTAAATAGCGTAGGGCCAGGAACCAGTCTCTGCAGGATCCCATTAGAAACAGACCAGTCCCTGTTTACAATTACATTTTGAGACCTATCACTTGGTCAGTTTTTAATCCAGTTAATGTGTAACATTTATTTTTGTATCATTCTAGTTTTTAAATCAAAATGTCATGCAATATTAAGTCAAACGCCTTACAGAAGTCTAAGTATATTACATCAACACTATTACCTTTATCAACCAAATATGTAATCTCATCCAAAAAAAGATATCGAGTTAGTTTGACAGGATCTATTTTAGAATAACCCATCTCAATTAGCATTAATTATATAGTCCACCTTTAATTCTTTATTAATCAAGTCCCATATCCGCCAGTCCATTATCTTGTCTAAAATTCCCCAATAATTAAAATTAATATAAAACTAATTTTAACATTCATCAGAAAGCACACACAACCCGACAACCTTAGGCTGTCCCTGGAAAAAAATGCAAAGGTTTACAAATGTAGTAAAACTGAAAAATATTCATTTTGCAGATTGTGGGTCAAAAAACATGAAACTTACGCTGAAGCTGCTTTTCCATTTAGAAGATTAAATATTGTGACTTGGGATAAGGAGCGTGAGTTCAGCAAAGACCCAAAAGAAGTAAGATTTTTTTCAGAAATACCTCAGAACAATAAGTTTTAAAAAACAGTTCAGACCTGAATGTTTAAATTGTCCAGTTGCAGCTCGGGACAAGTTGTCTTACCTCTTATTGCAAAATGATCAACCAAAATGAAAGTCCTGAAACGTCTACATGAAGAGGAAATCTTTATTCCAAAAGTGCAGTCATTTCTGAGAATGTACTCACATCAAGGTCCCAGTAGCAGTTCACAAAAAATACTGACATTTCTTTTATAGAACCAGGTGGGCTGGAACAATTTGTACAGTGGGGGAGCTGAGAGCCATTGAACCAAACTGTAAACCCTGTATATGATGGAAACCCCTTCAAGCCAGGGGGTGCGGCAGAACCCCCAGCCTCTCGAGTTCCAGCACCTATGTATAGAACCACAGGTTTCTGAGCATCAAGAGATACAGATTCAGGGTAAAACAGCCGAAGGTATTTTCTTTAACTATTACAGAAATGTGAGAGGGTTCCTTCTATAACAGGAGAAAGAAAATCTCTGTCATTTGCAGCCAATTATTGTAGTTGAGCTTGTTTGGATAGTTTTTCAGTGTTCAGGTGTGTTTAGATCGCTTCTGTGCCATTGCCTTTTTGAGTTCCCAGAGCAATTTGTGCTTCTTTTATGGAGTAAACATGCCTGATCAAGGCCTGTCCAGTTTGCCTCAGGGAAGGCTACTTCCTGTCTCAATGTTCTCTGTGCTAGGTTTTTAGTTTGGACCATTAAGAACAGGCACACTTGGCCCTACTCCACATCAGGCAGAGGGGATTTGAACCTGGGTTTCCATCTCCTGGGTGATTGCTCTAACTAATGGGTATAAGGGTGGCACTTCCTCCACCTGTGTCTGTTTTATGCAGGGTCTCATCTGGTTGGCACCCTGCTCGGAGCATGCCTACTGGATTGAGCCCCACAGGTGAGATAGGCAGGGGAACGCCTAGTTGGAGAATTCCATTGGGCCTTTGTCATGAGTTTCATGAGTTGCCAAAGTGGCAGTTAGGCACTCAAATCCCTTGTGGATCTAGCCCACAATGTCTAAGTACCTCTGTGGGCTTAGCTCTGGTATCATGGGCAAGGTTCAGGTGCTCAGAATGACCAGTTCTCAGCTCCTGCTGCCTCACAAGTTTATGCCAATACAACTTAGACCACAAAAAGGCCCTGCTTGTGCAGTGCTAAAATATCAGTGATCAGGTAAGGCAAAATTTACCTTTCATTTGGGGCAAATAAAAAGAGTCATTTAAAAATAACCACTTTTCACTCCATTTTTTAGGAACATTCCTACACTGCTGTGGATTTCAGTAACTGGTGTGTTAATACCTGGAGTAAAATAAAAGACATGCAGGATAGCAAAGGAGAGAATGAGAAGTATACCAGAATGATTTCACAGAGCAGAGGGACAAAACGAAGGAATAAACCTGGAGGATATCATCAGTCTACAGACATCGGGGGAAATTCCAGCTATTGTAAACATTCAGCAAGCCCTCCAAGGAAGAAAGGGGAAAGAGGCAATTTAGCAAAAAAATCAGAAAATAGAAACTCAGCCACTCCCATTCAGAAATTAATTTCCCTGGTAAAGGAATGGGACATGGTGAACTCCAAAAGATGTGAATTCCGGCATGTGATGATATCCAACAGTAACCTTGCAGATAATGTACCTTGTCATAAAACACTTGAAAATGGGGGTGACATCAAAGATCCTGCTGGCAGGTCTCCTGGGAAAATAAGTCATGGAGTTCAGGAAAACGACCAGACTATTCAAGCTACGTTCAGTGCTGAAGAGAAACATTCGGAGCAACACACATTCAAACAGAATTTGCCAGTTACCCTAACTGCTGAAAAACACAGATTCAGCACCATAAGGGAGACTTACCCAATGGAAAAAACTGCAGCATTCAAAGAGTGGAGGGGCCAGGAGCAAACAGAAAAAGGTAAGTGTCATGTGCTCATTGCTTTAACAATGGCAGGAGAAATTAACTAGCAAACATGATACTTAAACAAACCAGAGACGTCTGGTGATACTGATTAACAAAAAAGAAATGTCAGGATGAAAGAATCTCACCTCTTCCTCTTGCTCTCCCACAAACCAGAGGGGTTCCCACTGCAGCTAGAGGCAAGCACTCGAATGACTAAATTCACCCCTGTACACTGCTCTAGACCTATGCCACTTGAGGCCCACTTCAGCTTCCAAACTAGGGGCAGATGTACACGTAAAACGCTGCACCAGTGCAGCTGTGCTGCAGTAGCACTTCAGGGAAGACACTAACTACACCGACAGGAGGGCTGCTCCCATCGGCGGTAGCTCTGTTGATGGAAGAAGCGCTCCCATTGGGGGTTAGGTTGGTTTAACTGCATTGCTCAGCGGTGTGGATTTTTCACACTCCTGAGCGACATAGTTCTACCAACCTAATTTCCTAGTGTAGACCTGGCCTAGGGCTTGAGTGCGACTGAAGTGGGGCACGCTCCTTGTGCTGACCCACAATGTGTAAACGAATGCAGATTACTCATAAGGGGTACGAAGGTGGTGAAGGGCAAATTTCCTTTTCCTTCAGAAAAGCTTTCTAGATTCCCCAGTATGTATTAATTGTGATTTATTTGTATTCCTTTATCGTGTGCCAGATTTTAAAATGAAAGCCCCTTCTGTAGGGATATGAGCATCAAAGCGCCTGATGTCGCACTACTCAGCCCCTGCTGCAATACATTTTGCACCCTGGACTCCTCAGCACCTTGCTGGAGTGGAGGCCTGCGCCTGAAGTTCAGAAGCCTGGGGAAACAATAATTAATGTGTCTAGGGAACTGCAACATGGGAGGATGCACCTGGGCTGCAAGATGTAAAAAAGATTTGAGAAGAACCGGAGATTAAAAGGAAGGAGCTGTGCGAAAAAGACCCGATTTCTTATTTGTGTCACGATTTCCCCTCTCTAACAGATCCTCACCCAACCCCTCCCTGGCTAAAGCAGCTTGAAACTGGCATGTTCGGCATGGGGATGAGCAGTAGCACTTGCCCAGGTACCATGTCCTCTTCTTAAATAACTACTTTCAAATTATTATTATTTATTGGGCTGTCGATCAGTGTACACACCACTGTGTAAAACAGAGAGAAAGACATGGGTCCCTGCCCCAAGAAGCTTAATATAAGACCCAGTGCTGCAAGACACCACCGCCCAGATTCACAAAGGGACGTAGGCATGGGGATGCTGAGCGTCACAATGCCTAACTTTTAGGTGCCTAGAAAATCACACAACACTGTAATCCACAAAGCCTGAGTTCAGTGTCCAGGCTCCCTTATCCAACCCCCCAGCCCCGTGGCTGCGGGGGAGAGGGAACAGCAGGGAAGGGGCCTGGGGGTAGCCTCAGGGGCCGGGCAGGACCGTCCCGTGGGCTGGATGTGGCCCACGGGCCGTAGTTTGCCCACCTCTGCTATACAGTGTATGAGGAGAGGGATGGGATCTACAAAAGCCAGCATGTTAGGCGGGGAACTGCCTAACCTAGCCAATGGGAGATGCCTATGAGAGATGTGTGCTAAGCCCTGCCCCTCTCATGGAGATAGGTGCCGAAATCTGGTCTGCATGGAGGCACCAAGCTTTGCTAACAATTCATGAACTGTGGGAAGGCAGATCCTCCTCCACCTAATTAATGTGAGGGGCCTGTGTGACGGGTCGGATCACAGAAACCCCGTGGGACTGCCACCTGGTGTGCTGAGACTACCTCTGAGCCTGTTTTCCCCACCAGCTCAGGACTTCAGTGCCCTGCCTGGTTGTGCCAGACACACTAGCCTGCAACAAACACAGACCCTGGTCTGAACCATGCCCCCAAAAGCTGCAGGCTTAACTGAAAACAGCTTAAGAAGTGTTCCTGTCTCCAGCACTCAGATACCCAACTCCCAATGGGGTCCAAACCCCAAATAAATCAGTTTTACTCTATATAAAGCTTGTACAGGATAAACTCATAAATTGTCTGCCCGCTATAACGCTGATAGAGAGATATGCACAGCTCTTTGCCCCCCCCAGGTATTAATACATACTCTGGGTTAATTAATAAGTAAAAAGTGATATTATTAAATGCAAAAAGTAGAATTTAAGCGGTTCCAAGTAGTAACAGACAGAACAAAGTGAATTACCAAGCAAAATAAAATCAAACACACAAGTCTAAGCCTAGTACAGTAAGAAAACTGAATACAGATAAAATCTCACCCTCAGAGATGTTTCAATAAGCTTCTATCACGGACTGGACGTCTTTCTAGTCTGGGCACAATCCTTTCCCCTGGTACAGCCCTTGTTCCAGCTCAGGTGGTAGCTAGGGGATTTCTCATGACTGCAGCCCCCTTTGTTCTGTTTCACCCCCTTATATATCTTTTGCACAAGGCAGGAATCCTTTGTCCCTCTCTGGGTTCCCACTCCTCCTTCGAAATGGAAAAGCACCAGCTTAAAGATGGATTCCAGTTCAGGTGACATGATCACATGGCACTGCAAGACTTCATTACTCACTTGCAGGGCCGGCTCCAGCTTTTATGCCACCCCCAAGTAGCAAAGCGAAAAAAAATAAAGCCGTGATCAGCGGCAGTTCGGCGGCAGCTCTATCGCACCGCTTCATTCTTTGGCGGCAATTCGGCGGTGGGTCCTTCCATCCAAGAGGGACTGAGGGACCTGCCACCGAATTGCCGCTGAAGACCCGGACGTGCCGCCCCCTTTCCATTGGCCGCCCCAAGCACCTGCTTCCTTCGTTGGTGCCTGGAGCCGGCCCTGCCCACTTGCCAGCACACATGTATACAGGAAGACTTACAAGTAAACAGAGCCATCTGCAGTCAATTGTCCTGGTTAATGGGAGCCATCAAAATTCCAAGCCACCATTAATGGCCCACACTTTGCATAATTACAATAGGACCTGAGTTATATTTCATATTTCTAGTTTCAGATACAAGAATGATACATACATACAAATAGGATGACCACACTCAGTAGATTATAAGCTTTGTAATGATACCTTACAAGAGACCTTTTGCACGAAGCATATTCCAGTTATATTATATTCATACTCATTAGCATATTTTCATAAAATCACATAGAGTGCAGGGTCACAGCCTGATCAAGTAGGCATGCTCAGAGGCCACCTAGAGCTACACAAGAGAGCTGGGGAGGAAGGAAGCAGGAGCAGCTCTCTTATGATCTTTAGCCCAGTGGCTAGAGCCCCACCAGGATGTGAGGGATCACTGGTTCAAGCCCCTCTACTGCCTGATGAGAAGGGATTTGAATGAGGAACTGCTGTCTCTCAAATGCTTGTGCTCGGAGGCAGGAACATAGGTGCCTAGGTGCCAAGTGAGTTTGGGTGGCTACAGAGGTAGATGGCTGTCAAGCAGGAGTTTTGTGGATTGCAGTGGAGCCTAAAAATGGGATGTTTTTGTAAATCCGACCCTAAGCTTCTCTTGTGAGGGGCTGAGTAACCGCAATTGCTCTTGACTCCATTGGCATTGAGGACACTCAGTTCCCCAAGGAGATGTTCAGCAATCCATAGGGGCCAGACAGAGAGAACAATGAGACACATCCACCAGATGACTTGAGAGGGGGCTAATCTGAAAGTGATTCTTCGAGTGGCTCTGCGTATTCACACTTATGGTAATGTGCCGCCCAGTGCAGCCTAGCAGTAGAAACACCTCTGAGCAGTGGCCGTTAGAGCACACGCATGCGCTCTCCTCGCCCTCCCCTCAGAGTCCCTGAATGTTCTGAGGGTAAGGCTATATAAGGGGGCACAGTGCCTTCTACCACCCCAGTTCCTTCCAACTGTTGCACCAGATGGAAGTGAACCATTCCAGTCCATAAGGCTCTGGGGGTTTCCAGCATTGACAGTGCCTTTGATAGTGTAAAGTTGTTGTAATTAGTATAATTTTTAGCATAGGGTAGTTTTAAGTGTAGTAATAAGTATAGCTAGTTTAGTATAGTGTGTAAGGCAGTTCCGTGCAATGGCGGAACCGAAGAAGAAGCTGGGTTTTAAGAGATGTGCTTCAGGCTCAGCTGTCTTCCTGGTGCCAGACGACCATGTTAGGTGCCGTAAGTGCTTGTGGGAAGACTACTCCTGGATGTTCTGTTTGCCTGATACACCCAGAGCGTGCAAGGAGAGGCAGAACAGACTGCAAATGCTTCTGCTTAAGGAAGTTCTTGCTGCTAACCATCCAGTTCCAGGAGGTTGTCGGATCCAATGTCTAAGAGGCCTATTTCATCTCCATTGGCTTCCTTCAGCAAGGCTAAGCTGTCTAAAGGTTCCAAGACACCAAAGTCTTCATTGGTGCTGGCTCTGGATCCTTCTGTTAAAGTAGTCAAGGCTTCAAAGACACAGTTGGTGGAAAAAAGATGTCTGCCTGCTAAGGAACCTAGAGCCACATTGTCAGCTCTGGGTGGATTGGTTCTGAAGAAGAAGGTGAAGGAGAGGATAGCCACTGTTAGCAGTGCCAGATCCTGTACATCAGACTTACTAGTCCCGTCTCATTCTGTCTCTGAAACCTAAGTTGGTTCTCTTTTTGACTTTGAAGACCAGCAGTGTGGCGCTGATATATCTCCAGATCTGGTTCTCTCTAGGTCAGGGGGGCCTGCTCCTTCCTCCATTCCTGTTCCGGAACCATCCTCAGATCTGAAGTTGACTTTTACTGTGGTGGTTGATGTGCACTGTTCTGCGTCTGAGCATTCCTCAAATACGAGTGAGAGGCAGATGGCGATGGTTGGTTCTGTGATCTGCATCCTCTTCACCTGAAAAGAGAAGAGCAAAGATTATTAATCTTTCTCTGGATCTATCTATGCCTCCTCCTCGTAAGACTCCTATAGGATAGCCAGGCAGATCTTTCTTGCTTTTTGTCTCTCTTTACCCTCTAAGTCCATTGCTATCTTTGGTGAAGTCCATAGCAGCTCCAAAGTCAGATATTCAGCTAGAGGAGGATAGAGCAAGAATTAAGAGACCTGATTTGTCCCAGTTCATGCCTCTTTAGCCCAGGTTTCCACACTTCTTTTTTCCTCCTGCTACAGGCATGTTCCCAGATCCCAGCTACCGGAAAGAATGGTAATCCTGTGCTCTAGGGCTTTATTATATTCCACCACAGGAGGTTCTGAATCACCCACCATATGGAGATGGACTTTGATACTGGTTGTGATGGATGTTCACCCCACACTTGCCCCAAAAGGGTTAATGGAGGCCAGATGGGCCAATTAACCTATTAGGCTACAAGCTGGGAGAATTAAGGCTTAGAGGAAAGCCCTAATTAGAGGAAGCTCATGTATGCAGGAACAGTTGGGGCTTCTATAAAGCCAGGGAGCTGATAACAGAAAAGGGCCGCAGGGAAGTAGTCTGCAGTCATTCCCTAGGAGAAGGGAGGTGTGTTTGGAGGCTACAGAACTAGGGAGCCTACAGTTACCCCCTGGGAGGAGAGAGTTGAGAGGTTGGCAAACCCAGAGAGGAGCGGAGAGCCAGAAGGTAAGGAAGGGACTCAGGGAAAGGCAGTAAGGTCCAGGAGGGAACAGACCTTGTCTGCTGACTAGAGGGTCCCTGAGCTGGAACTCAGAGTAGAAAGCGGGCCCGGGTTCCTCTGCCAGCCACTGGGGAAGTGGCACCCTGGGGCAGTGAATGGGAAGACTGCCTGAGACAGCTAGTGAAGCAGAGACTTTGATACCCCGGAAGAGGGAACCACGCACAGTGACCTGGCCGAAGGGACAAGTCACGAAGAAGGAGCATCCTGAGTTCCAGCTAGTGAGAGAGAGAGAGAGCGAGCGAGCGGCAACAGAGTGTACAGCAAGTAGCAGAAGGGGGCCTCGGACCTGAAAAGAGCTAATTCCCCAGAGCGGCCAGGAGGAGCTGCCCCTAGTGGTGAGTGGACCCCATGACACTGATTTGTCACTGGACGAACATGTGAGTGTGGCTTCTGCATTTTCCCCTTCAGAGGATGCGCTGCGGTATCTTGATCTGGTGGCTTGCATGGCATCCACACTGAACCGACCTCCTGTGCAGGAAGCCTCACATCCAGGGTTTGATAGTCTTGGGGCTCCTGTCCCTTCTTGGGATCTTCATTTGGTTTTATCCACGCTTATGAAGCCACCTTTTGAAACCTTGGCAGAGAATCCATTTTTATTGTTGCTATAACATCAGCCAGAAGGGTGAGCGAGTTGCATGCCCTAATGACTGATCCATCATTTACAAGATTTCATAAGGACAAGGTGGTTCTTAGACCTGATCCCAGGTTTGTGCCAAAACCAGTGTCTGATTTTTCATATGAATCAGATAATTAATTTACCAGTATTTTTCCCAAAAATCACATACTAATATATGTTACATACTTTGGATGCTGGAAGGATTCTAGGAGATTATTTAAATAGAGCTACAAGGTTTTGGAAGTTCATCTAAGTTGGTTGTTTCTTATGCTAAGAATCCTGTGGGTCATCGTGTATCTGTGCAGCCTATTTACAGATGGGTTAGGTAATGTATCATTGAATGTTACAAGTTGGTGACAGTTTCTGGGCCTACTGTTGTAAGATATTATTCAGCTCTTGCTTACCTTAAACGTGGCCCTACTGGGGAAGTCTGTAAGACTGACTTGGAAGTCGGTCAATTACCGAACATAATGCTTTGGATTTGGCTTCAAAAGCAGATGCCAGATTAGGTAGAGTGGTGCGTGAGTCTTTATTTCATTATGACTCTGCTTCCTCTTTCTGAGTTTTTCAGCCCTGCTGGTCAAACTACCCATAAGTGGGAATATGCAGACCCACACAAAGAAGAGGTGGTTACTTGCTTGTAACTGGAATTCTTTCTTCCGCCACCTTTCCCCTCTTTCTTAGAGTCCTATTATGATTTGTATGGGTTAGCGGGGAAGGAACTGAGGGGGTAGAGCGCGCTTTCTCAGAACTTTTGGAAACCCTGAAGGGAGGAGTAGGAGGAGGTGCACATGTGCTCTAATGGGTAATCGTTGGAGAAGGTTCTACCACTAGACTGCGCCAGGCAACGCGTTACCGTTACTGTGACTATGCAGTCCTCCCAGAGAACTCTGGTTACAAGTAAGTATTCTTCATTTACGTAGTGCTGCCTGTTGGTTGTACAGGCATGCGTCTTTCAGTGTCACATATTTCTCAATTTGGTGGATGATTGCTGAGGTGTTCCGCAGAAGATGGGATTTGAGTAAAGGGAACTCTGTGTTCTTGTGCAGTAAACACATGAGGATGTACGATGAAGGTGTAAAGATGCGAGTGGGAGAAGGACACAAAAGGGCTTTTTGGAGGTGGCTTGGGACAAACATAGTCACTGGGAGCAGGGGGCTGAGAAACAGTTACTGAGGTCTAGGAAGAAGAAGAGTGGTGGAGAGGTTTATGGGTGAGGACAAGGATCTGGAACTTGAGGCAGAGGAGAAGACAGTGAAGGGATCTGAAGCAAGAAGGGGGCAATGTGATCAGAGAGGTGGGAGAGAAGATGATTTTGGTGACAGCACTTTGGTAGCATGATGTAACAACAGCAAGTTGTGCAGGGAAATTGTTCATAGTGAGACAAAGAGAGCTGAATTAATCGCTATTTATTTCAATCGACTTGCAATTGGGAAGCATTTGACCCAGCAAAATTAGTTCACGGATAATAATTTCCCTGCTCCTCCTCCATTACAGACATTGGGCAATTCTGACCTCAGTTACAGAGGTGTAAATCCAGAGTAACTCCACTAAAGTCAATAGTTACTTCACCTTTTCACCTGTGTCGCTGAAAACAGAATCTGGTTTCCTGAGCTCAAAAACACTTGCCCATCCTCCTGTCTGATACAGTTGGAATCTCAGTAACATATTATTGTCTGCGGAAAGAAATGGGACCAATTACTTTAATAACACTCAATGACTCCTCTATGCAAACCCTGACGTTCTGTGTGGAAGTTGGGAGCATGATGAAAATACAATGGGAGTGCGATTCTAGTCCTCGCTCAGAGGGCTGCGAAGCTTGGTCCCAGGGCTTTTTGAGCAGAGGGAGATGATCTGACCGAGTCTTCTTCAGCGGTTGTGTGAAGATACTAGTACAATTATTGTTAACTATTGGAGTTATTGTATTCCTTAGGCTTTGTCTGTAGTGCCATAGGCACGCCCGGCACTGTACAGAGCCAGTAAGGGTACAAGACCAGCTCACAGGAATTTATTTGCACAACAAAACTGAAAAGCCTCTATGAGTTGTATGCTTCTGAGTTTCAGATGCAGGGCATTACAGCAAGCCCGGAGCACACAATTACTAGTCTTGTGCTAGCCTGAATAGAGATAAAAAGAACAGGAGTACTTGTGGCACCTTAGAGACTAACACGTTTATTTGAGCATAAGCTTTCGTGGGCTAGAACCCACTTCATGGGATGCATAGAATGGAACCTATAGTAAGGAGATATATATACACATACAGAGAACATGAAAAGGTGGGAGTTGCCCAACCAACTCTAAGAGGCTAATTAATTAAGATGAGTAATTATCAGCAGGAGAAAAAAAACTTTTGTAGTGATAATCAAGATGGCCCATTTCAGACAGTTGACAAGAGGTGTGAGGATACTTAACATGGGGAAATAGATTCAATCTGTGTAATGACTCAACCGTTCCCAGTCTCTATTCAAGCCTAAATTGATGGTATCTAATTTGCATATTAATTCAAGTTCAGCAGTTTCTCGTTGGAGTCTGGTTTTGAAGCTTTTTTGTTGCAAGATTGCCACCTTTAAGTCTGTTACTGAGTGACCAGAGGGGTTGAAGTGTTCTCCTACTGGTTTTTGAATGTTATGATTCCTGATGTCAGATTTGTGTCCATTTATTCTTTTGCGTAGAAAGTGTCCGGTTTGGCCAATGTACCTTTTCATGTTCTCTGTATGTATATATATCTCCTTACGATATGTTCCATTCTATGCATCCAATTAAGTGGGCTTATGCTCTAATAAATTTGTTAGTCTCTAAGGTGCCACAATTACTCCTGTTCTTTTCGTGGATACAGACTAACACGGCTGCTACTCTGAAACCTGAATTGAGATAGGCTCAACTGATGTCAGGCTGTCGTGAGAACATTTTGCAAGTCTCTGCTTGCAATGAGCTACTCCTGGGGAAAGACTGAAAGAGCTACAGCTGAGGTTTTCAAAGGCACCTGGTGGAGTTGGGGTGGGTGGAGCAGGTCCTGCCTGGGGTTCACCCGATCTCAGTTCAATTTCTGTCTTAGCTGAAAGCTTACTGCATGCTCCTGCACATGTCCCACAATGAACCCTGTGCCTTGTACAAAGGGGGTGCTAGCACTGCCTACCTCGTGGGGGTGGTGTAAAGGTAAAATGTGTTAATGATTGCAAAGTGCTCCGGTACTATGGTGAGGAGGCCCATATGATTACCTCAATAGCTAGAATTCTTTAGGCTCCTGTGACCAGCCCAAGCTAAATCTGTTTGGGCTTGGTTAAGCAATGACTAAGGGAGCACGCGATAACCATGGCTAAGTGTTTCCAGGATTTCAGTACCAAGGAGGGAGAGAATATTTGTGGGTTTGTACCTTTGGTTTGTAAGCTCCTTGGTGCAGGGGCTGTCATCTGTCATTTATAATAGGGTTGTTCTGTGCTTCACACCAGACTGGTAGACTCTAGGTGCTACTGCAGTATAAATGTTTAATAATAATTCATTAATAATAAAGGGGTACAACTAGGAGTAAGGGGGTGAAAATGCTGTGCCCCTCATTTTCTGTTAACAGATGTGCTAATCCTATTAGAAGTTGTACAGGTTATATTGTCTGAAAATCCACATATTTTTTATCCCCAGAAACAACCGTCAATGACCAAACCAACATGGTAACCAAAGAATTTAATAATGTAGGATTCATCCTTAAAGTCGAACATCCTCCAGTTGTGGGCAGTGATGGCTCTTGCACTTGGCATGAAGAGAGTGTTGTTTACAGTGCTGGCATCAAACCGGCTAATGCAAACCGTCAACCAGTGGCTAGAGGTACAGTAACATTGAAAAGAACTGGAAAGTTGGCAGCTTATTTAGCGTTTCGATGGTGCCACAAGGCTTTTTGGGTGAAAACAAATGCCTCTGATACCTTTTCCTGGTCTATAGTATGAGGAGCTAAGAACCAAACTTCTTGGTAGCACTTTTATAACTATTCTTGTTTGGTGTTTGCGCTGGCGCGAAGGCCAACAAGTTTATATCATTAGTAGAGGGAAGACAAGACGAGATGACAGTGGATATATCATAAATATCATAAATCCCTAACAAACTATAGCTGTGTGTAGTCACCGTTGGTTAGACTCAATCAGTCCTAGCACTTACAGTACACCCCAAGTTGTAAATGACTGTTCCCCAAAGGGCAAGTGTGACGGGTTCCCTGCGGGGTGCCACCTGGAACTGGGGTACCACTGAGCCCTCACTTACCAGCCTGGGCTCCCTCTCACACCGTGCTGCTGTGACAAGCTGTAGACCACTTCTGGTCCTACACTCCCACCAGCATTTACACAGGCAGGGACGCCCCCAGCTGCAGTTACATGCATGCTCCAACCAGCAATAGAGAGGCTACAGCCAAGATAACACCCATCTCCCCAGGCACGCACCCCCCGCTGAGTATAAACCCAATTTTATACCGTGTTGCACTGCACAGGGATCTGTACAATGCAAGCTCGTAAATGGGTCGCCTCTCCCTCGATATGTTAACCAAGCTGAGATTTCCCCCCAGACACTTCACTGAAAGGCACTCCGGGTTCGAGAAAGCAAAAAACAAGTTTATTAACTACAAAGGATAGATTTTAAGAGATTATAAGTGATAGCAAACAGATCAAAGCAGATTACCTAGAAATAAACAAAATTGCAAACTAAGCCTAAGAGACTAGAACGACTGGATATGAATGAGCAATTTCTCACCCTGGCTGATGATACAAGCAGTTCACCAGGTTTCCATAGACAGGCTAGAAATCCTTTTAGCCCGGGACCAGCACTTCCCCCAGTTCAGTCTTTGTTCCGCAGGTGTTTCCAGGAGTTCTCTTGTGTGGAGAGTGAGGCCACTAGATGATGTCACTCCCTACCGTATATAGCATTAACATATGGCGGGAACCCTTTGTTACAAAACCAGTTCCCAGCCCAGTTTGTGGAAAGATACAGGTACCCAGAATGATCAGTACCATGTGGTCTGGGGCCAGGGCTACACACATGCACACACGTGTCCCTGAGAGAACTCGCCAGGTATGTGTACACCCACCCAGCTGCTTTCCTTGCCAGGTCCCTGCAGCTAAATTGCTGTAGCTGCTATTGTACTAGCCCAACTCCGTAGCAGCCCGAGTTAAATGGATGGTGTGACAATTCAGTACCTAGTGGAACACTTTTGTTAGAGACGTTCTGCTGTGGCAGAGGCTTTACTGCTTGAAACGTACTGAAGCTGTTTGCTAGCTAATCACGGTGGCCTTTTCACGCTCCCCAACACTTCAGCAGGCAAAGCTGGAAATCACAGACTCACAGAAATCAGGGTTGGAAGGACCTCAGGAGCTCATCTAGTCCCACCCCCTGTTCAAAGCGCAAATATTTTTAGCAATTAAAACAAGCCAGGGTGGAATCCTGAACTCCTTGCTCAGTTTTTACTTGGCAACGCTCCCATTGACCCTGGATCGGCACATGGAGTGTTCCAGGATTCTGTTGCACCCATGACAATGCAGGCAGGTGATCAGTGGCTGGCTAAATGGGCTGGCGCTGGCACGCTGAAATAGGGTGGCTAATTCTGTACATTGTGTTTGGCACTCTCCTTGTAGATGTCGTTTTCCTAAGTTTTGCTTTGGCACGGGAAGAGATATTTTATGCCAGAAAGTGCCACTGTTTTCTGACTGACATCATCCTGAATTCCATCAGGCAGAAGGATGCCAGAGAGATCACAGCCAAAGTTGTGAGGCTTGTGCACAGGCTTTGGGTAGGTATGATTTCCTAACCGTGCTGAAGCTAGGCCAGTTACTGAGGTGCCTATTGCGTCTTTCTGTGCCTACAGCCGCCACTTAGGTGCCACTGACATTTAATCAAAGGTGCCTAAGTCCCCATGGCACCTACGTTTCTGCCCGGCAGCTTTGCAAAGCTGCCTAAGGAGTGATGCTGCTCCCGCAGCTAACGAGTGGCTCAGAGTCTAGCTCAAGTCACAGCCCCAGAGGTGCCGAAGCAGGCGTCTCAATCTAGGCAGGGGAACGCTTGTCTTGCCACTGGGGCGCGATCCCATAGGCTTGCTTTAAGCACATCGGACACCTCCCCGGCCCACGTCAGGCCACCAAGAGGTGGCAGGAGCAGCAGAGTGCCTGCATAAAAGGTAGCCAGAGGCACAAGGAAAGGTAGGGTGAGTGGCAGAGCGTTATCAAGCATGAGTAGGAGAGAGAGATTCGGCTGCTAGGACTTGGGCGACTTAAGTGGCTGAGCTGGCTTAGATGCTTAACTCCAGGAGGGAGGTCCCGGCTGTGACTCACGAGCTGGAGGGAGAAAATCCCTCCTTGGGCTTGTGGCGCAAAGGGGAAGAGTAGAGACCCACTGTCTAAGGCAGCACGCTCCCCTGGGCCAGAGAAGGAGAGAGGCGATGCAAGGTATCACAGAGGCACATTTCCCAGTGGAAGCAGTGAGTGCAGAAGCTCAAACTGCCAGCAAGAGACAGAGCATCTGGGGCTAGATCCACAAAGGGACCTCGGCACCTAACTGCCACTTAGGCCGCCGAGTCCACCATTCCTAAGAGCCTCAAAACTCCTGCTGAGATGCTGCCTAACCCCGTGAGCACCTAAGTTACTGCTGGTTAAGGCCCCCAGGTGGCTACATGTCAACCCATGTGCATGCACAAAGCCACTGCTGTCCTACCACCACCAAACTGCTCAGCACCCTAGTGCACACCTAACCCCTGGCTGGATTCTCAACCTGGGCGGTCCCACCCCCCCCGCCCCCAGCTCACCGGTGGGGCTTCAGCAGGTGGGCGTGTTTTGAGCCTGCATAGGCTGCACGAAAGCCTGCTGGGGACAAGCACATTGGGACTTTGGGGGCAGCTGTTTGTCCCAGTGCAATGGTTAGGGCATGCAGCTATGATTGGTTTTCAACGTCCTGCTCTGGCGGCGTTAGAGCAGTGACTGGCAGCCACATGCCCCGCCTCCCAGACGCATGCGCTGCACCTGAGGCGTTGGCGCTCTCCTGTTGAAGCCATTCCACTTTGTATAACTAACTAACTAGTGGGTGGGCCAGAGTGAGGGTGACTGTAGCCTGGTGGGCAGGGCACGCGGCTGGGGTGTGGGAGACTAGTCACGTCCCAGCTCCAATGTAGGGCTTTGAACATGGGCTTCTCCATGCCTGCTGAGTGCCCGGCTCACTGGGCTACTGGCTGCAATGGGGGGTGTGGTGGGTGCGGGGCTCTGGGTTTGTCGCTGCCCTGGCCCCCCACTCCACGAGCAGGCTGGGCTATGAATCCTGTGGAGGGAGGTGCCCAACTACCTTTAAGGGGCAGAGGGGTTCGGATTCCTGCTCAGGGTGCTGGCTTCGGGAATTGCTTGCGTAGGGTATGTTTAACACTGCAGTTAGGCACCTGACTCGGGCTCACAGGGCTGGTTACTTGCGGTGTAGCCCTTCAGGCTCGGGCTGGAGCTTGGGGTGTAGACTCCTGCAAGGTGGGATGGTCCCAGAGCTGGGGCTGGACCCCAGCCCCAAAGTCTACACCCCAATTAAACAGCCTCTTAGCCTGAGTCAGCTGGCCGGGGCCGGCCGCGGGTGGCTAATTGCAGTGTAGACAGACCCTTAGGCACCTCACTCCCCGTGCGCATTATAGGGAGTGTGGGAATGACACTGCATGGCAAGGAGACGAAGGCTCTCTGTGGCTCGAGCCCTAGGCTACCACACCTTGCTGTTCAAGGCCAGGCCCTGGGGAGCGGCGGGGGCATAGCCCCCCCACCTCTAGACCTGCGGGTTTGCTGTGGGCTGGCCAGGGGTCTATGGCTGGATACGTCATCGTGGGTAAATCTGTTGCTCTTCCCTGTTTGTTTCTTAAATCAGTGCGTGCCCCATGTCAGCTAGGGCTGGGGTGAGCAAAGCGTGAATACCTGCCCCCACCACTTTCCTGCAGTCACCCGGGAGGCTGGGCGGATCTGTGAGCTAGGTTGGAAGCAGCTCCTTTTCAATGGCCAGTTTTAAAAAAGTGTTTCCCGTCAGCCTGGGGAGGCCGAGTTGCTTCTCACATGTCAGATCTAAGAATGTAGCAGATCTGCCACTCTGGGAGCAATGCGTTTTCTCTCCCCGTCCTGTACACATCGGTAGTACTGGGGGCCACCAGGGCTGGAGGCAGCTCTGCATGGGACTAAGCCTGAGGCTCATTGGCAGGACCAGGCAAGAGTCCTGCTGAGACAAGCTTCTTTTACATTAGACCCAACAGATCACACCAAAGGAGTTTGTTGCTGATGTCTTCAACACAAAACCTTTTAACGATGACAGACATGTTCATGAAAAGCTACTTAGATGGGTGGAAGTAAGTACAGAGCATTCAAGAGCCTTGTGTTATTACAGAAGACAGACTATGCTGAACAAATTTACCAGCTTTTATATTAGTTTGTGGTTCCTCCGCTTTCCTTGTGGGATGGTTGAACTAGGAGCTAGTTTGCAGCATATACTGATAAAAGTTGTACCGATGTTAATATTATTAGTTTAAAATCATACCAATCTGTCAGATGGCTTCAGTTTCTCCACCTATAAAATGGACATAATGATACTTGCCTTCTCTAGAGCTCACTAGGCCTCAGCTGGAGTATTGAGGAGCAGTTCAGGAAAGATGTGGACAAATTGGAGAAAGTCCAGAGAAGAGCAACAAAAATGATTAAAGGTCTAGAAAACATGACCTGTGAGGGAAGATTGGAAGAATTGGGTTTGTTTAGTCTGGAGAAGAGAGGACTGAGAGGGCACATGATAACAGTTTTCAAGTACATAAAAGGTTGTTATAAGGAGGGAGAAAAATTGTTCTTCTTAACCTCTGAGGACAGGACAGGAAGCAATGGGCTTAAATTGGAGCAAGGACAGTTTAGGTTGGCCATTATAAAATACAGTCTAACTGTCAGGGTGGTAGAGCACTGGAATAAATTGCCTAGGGAGGTTGTGGAATCTCCATCATTGGAGGTTTTTAAGAGCAGGTTAGACAATCACCTGTCAGGAATAGTCTAGATAATTAGTCCTGCCATGAGTGCAGGACACTGGACTAGATGACCTTGCAAGGTCCCCTCCAGGCCTACAATTCTATGACTCTGTTAAACGCTATGCTGTTTCACTGCTCTGTATTATGACTGATGAGTAACTGTTTGATTATTCCTTTCAGTTTACACTGCCATTTGCATGGAAGTACAGCCACTGCATTGATTTACTGCTAAAGAAAGGGTATTCCAAATCCATATCCTATTTTGGCTTGGGAAAATAAGTTACAGGAGCTTTAATAAAGTTTGACCTAAATGTTTCTCACTGTGAAATGTCTGTCCTTGCTTCTGACAGCTCAGCTGGTAAATCATACATTACCTATGTGGAAGGTTATACAGGTCCCAGCTAAAAAGCCTTTCTAAGGTGAATTAAGGATGAGAGAACTAGTAACTTAAGCATTAGAAAAACCTTACACGAAACTTTTAGTTCATGCAAACCAACCAACTAAACCCCAAAGAAACAGGACATTCAGAATTAGGTTAAATTTACCAGAAACAAAACTAGTTGAAAAAGAAGACAAGTGCACGTTCAGGCCTCTGAACACCTGTAACTGTCCCAGGAGAGATGCCAGCCTCTCAGCTTTCCTTGTGTGGGTGGAACAGACCAGATGTGATCACAGCCTGTTGGTTTGATTCTATGTGTGTGTCTCTCTCATGCCCCCTCTCCCCCATACTGACTGCTGCTTGGCACCATGCTCACCTTGCCCACAACACATGGTAACGATGGCAGATACTGTCACAAACGTGCTCTACTGTAACGACCAGCTTCGTATGTGGAAATATACGACCTCTGGCGACACGAGTGATTGACAGGCACGTGGAGTGGCTGAGGAGCCCTGGGGGCTCTAGGCCAGGGAACAGATGAGGCCAATAAACAACTTCAAATGCCTCCACTGAACAGATCTGTGACCTGACTCTATTTGGGCAAAATAGTGTTTGAAGAATTTTCTAACCACGCAACAGCTTGTTTGATTAACATCAGGCTTTGGGGGGAAAATTCGATCGCCAGAGAAACGGCCCTAAGGACAGGATGCAGTGTTTGTTAGGAACAGGACAGGCCTTCTCTAAATGAAAGCAGGTGGTTTTTCCCAGCAGTCATTTGATAGCCTATTTTTAGCTCTTTGGAGCAGCCTTCCCATTCTGACAGTATGTCAAAACAAGAACTTTGAAAATGTGCATTTAAGCAACGCTGGTCCTGTGCATTAGAGCACAACTAGATTAGCCAGGTAAACGGACTTCACCCCGTCCTGCTATGGGTAGAAGATTTTACGTTACCTGCTGTAACGTTTTGGCCAGTATTCCTTTGTTTGCAGCTTTTATGGGAGGCAAACCCCAGGCTCAGTCGCAGTCTTACATCAAGGTGCAGTGCCTGCGGCTGTCTAATGTGCATGTGTGATGAAGTGGGAATTTGCATTTTTTTTTAATGACACCGGTGCGTGCCTCAGTTTCCCCTCTATGTTCCATTATTACCCATTTGGGGGGGGGGGGGAAGGGTTGTTTGTTCTCCGGGCAGACTGGGACATGTAGGTACGTATGTCGCCTACTTATCTGCACCTGAACAGGTCTTTAAAAAAAGGCTGCCCCCACCCCCCACCCCCCAATCAATGAAAAATCCAAGCAGACAGTGGAAAACCCACTCACTGGGATATGACACCTAGCAACCAGTGCCCCAAAGGGAGGAGGATTTCCCCCAGCTCTCAGCAGGGAAGCTGGCACAGACCCCAGCTCGAGAACAGAGGACTGGGTATGTGTGAGGTGGAGGGGGTTGAGGGCTCTCCCCTGGAAACACACTAAGGAGGTGAGACAGAGAGAGCCTGAACAGCTTGGCTGTAGCAGAATGGACCATGCTTTAACCTTCATTTCTCAATGCTAACCTGAAGCCTTCCTATGCTGTGTGCCAGTTTAAACCCGACTGGTTGGCCAACGCTGTTTGAGTGTCACTGCAGATACTTGCTGAGGTGCATGAATCCCTGAAGAGTGCACAAGGCTCTCTCAGCTGGACCTGCTGAACAGAGCTTCTGGCACGAAGAAGGAAAACTGATGCCCCCGAGGTTCAGTCTTAGGAGGCGGTGAGGCCATGTGGCCGACCCTGAAGGAAGAGTGAGACCCCCTTGAACTGTTCCAAAACTGGGGGGGGCGGGGGGGACGTAGCACCGATCCTGTGGCTGCGTGACAGCGTGCATTCCACATTCCAGCTTCCCGTCTCTTGTCTCCAACATGAATATGCAACACAAATCAACCTCATACAAAGAAAATAACCTTTATTAGGTCGTGAAATCAACTCCTGGCAAACCAGGTGGCAGCTGAACATTTCTAAAGATTCTTCCAGCAATGCAGAAACCTCTTTAACAGGAATTTCAGAAATTGGTCACAATGGTACTTCCATGTCCCCCTTGGTTTGTTGGTAAAGTCTTTCCCTCGTTAGTGGTATTCACTTGCGCTGGTTGACGCACAAAGCTTAGAATTAGCTAGAGATTTTTACACAATAGGTTTTAAAATCTTGCCTGGCCAATTGTTTACCCCGCATTATTGTATAAAAAATGTCAATCATCTTCCATTTTGCCATCTGAGAAGGAATAAGACTGAAAAAGTGTCAGCTTATTAAAAGAACATCAAAGAAGTGTCACATGTACATTACACGGATTTCCAAACGCAAAGGAACAGGGCTAATATGCAAAGGCTAAATGGGTGCCCATGAGGTTTAGCATTTATGAGCCTGGGAAGCAGTGAACTGTGAATGGACCAAAACCAACAGCTATGCGAAGAAACCAGTTACACGGTTGCTGCTCCCTACTATGCCTAAGGCCAAGTGTGATGTGTGTACGTGTTGCAAAAGCTGGGGGATAAAGGTTTGCAGCAATCGAAGAAGCCGTAAGTAAACATGCTCTCAGTCAGCAGGTTTGCATTTCCCCTACTACATGTTAAATGAAAGTACTGCAAGCCAAACAAGCCCAAACTTTCCTGACCGCGCCTACCAAGGAGCTCAAACGTTACTGACTGTCCCAAGGGGCGCATCACGTACAGGCAAAGGTTTGTCTCTACTGGAATTACACAAAATGAAAGCTGGGGCCTTTACTGTTTCAGTGGCATAATAATCTGGGCTCAACACACTCGATGGCCGCTGTGCTCAGACGTGGGCTTGGATTAACACCACCACATGCTGGGGCTGGGTATCTGAATGGGACTAGAACACACGACATCTGGCAGACTAGGCCATCATACTTCCACGTCCACCCCTCTACGCTGGCCTGTCCCCTTTCCCTCTACAACAGCCTCTCCACAATGCTGACTTTGCCACTTATGCCTCACGCGGGGCTGATTTTAGCAGCAGGCCCAGGCTGCTGCCTGTGTGGTCTGCCACCAAGACAGCAACTAAGCTGGGACTGGACAGCATGAACAGTTCCCTTCTTCTCTCCAACCAGACATGCTGGAGAGCCAGACCATATCTGGGTTGTCCTGCTGTACCCTGCAGGACTGCTCCCACTGCCGTCGCCTTTGACCTGCTCTGGCATCTCTGCTGTGCTGGGGGCTCCCCACTCCTGCCCTGGGAACACAACTCTGCTGCCCAGTGGGATGTCTGGTTCGGGTGTCGATATTCCCAGCAGCCAGACAGGGAGGTGGCAGACACTGACAGCTGATAGTGGTACTAAGGCAGGGAGCAGCTCAGCACGGCAAGCACCTGAAGTAACAATGAACCTGGTTTTATTAAAACAAAAGGGTCACGCCAAGGAAATAAATTATCGCGACACTCGGCCAGTCTAAGACCAAAGGGAGGCCGTCGCTCTCGCGCGGCAGCGCGGCAGGCAGCCCACACGGAAAATACCTCGTTTCCTCCTCACGCCCTTCCAGAAACGTTATAAACTGTGCAGCACAAAGAACAAACCGAGTAACAAAATCTGTACAGTCCAGAGCTTCCAAAATACTCTGGCTTTGCAAACTGCTATGTTACTTGTTAATACATTTATAAATAAAGGACTAACTGCCCCCCAACACACCAGCGACGGTGTCTAGTGAACAGGGAGCTAACTGGGGCGCTCCCCAGCCACGTGCCAGGTCTGGACTGGTTTGAAGAGCCTGTGGTTGTGCTTGAACAGCTCCAGGAAGGCCGGCAGTCTCCTTGTGCTGGTCAGAGACGTGGACTCTTCGGTGGGTTCAGTGGAACCAGCGATCAGACCTGGAACACAGCCCCAGGCAAGGGTCAGGCTTGCTGCACGCTACTCGGGGGAGGACTGGGGCCATGTTTGCGTCAGCTGCTCTCAGATACACTTTGCTCAGGAGTGGTCATGTGGTGTCCCCTTCGGCAGCTCTCCCCAGGCCGTGCGGTTCAGCGTCAGTGGCGCTCTCCTGGAGTGCCATGTGCAGCCGCCCTCCCAACCCTGCATCTGCCGTCCCCCAGCGACAGCGCAGAGCTGAGCGGGGCCTCAGGGCAGACAAGCAGAACCAGGCCACTGCTCAGGGGATGTTCTAGCAGGGGCTGGCCTTCCTAACGAACTCTGCTAACGAGGGCCCTGTCTCCTTAGGCTCCGGGGACAGACACGGCGACTGCGCTAGCAGCAGCCTGGGGGGAACATGGCTGACTCCCAGCGCCCAGGCAGAGGGGCTGGTGAGCAGCACGCGGTTGGCAAATGGGAGACAGGGTAGTGGCTAGACGGCCGGGTCAAAGCCAGCCTAAGGCTCCGCACTGGGCCAATGGCACCGAGACCGGACCCGAGCTAGCGCCCCCGTGTCCTCGGTAAGGACTCTACACATTGCCGCAGCTGCTGGGAGCCAGACCCTGCAATGTGCCTCTAAGCAGCTGGGCCCCAGTCTCAGGGGTTAGCCAGCAGCACCGCACGCCATGGGAGCCAGCGCTGAGAGTCTCCTGGCGCAGGGCACGGCTGCCAAACCCGGCCAGCACCGAGCCCCTCGGCGGCTACTTACAGCTCCGCGTCTTCAGGCAGAACACTTGTGCAGAGGGGCTCACACGACTGTCGAGGGGCTCACGGCGACCGGGCCTGCTGTCTGCAGGGGAGAGAAGCCAGCGTTAGGCGCCACCAGCCCGCTAGGCCGGGAAGAGGAACGGGCTGGCAAGTCAGAGGGATGCCAAGGAGACACTGTAACAGAACATCCCACCCACAGCTCCTTCATCCCATACCCCGCAGAGCACACCCAGCCCGTCCCTGGGAAAGGGGCTGTGGGGCATCTCCGAAGCTCCATTACTCTGCCTAGCAGCAGCTGAAAGTTG